TCATCCTCCATGGGGCTGGGCAGGATGCGGCAGCGCCCGGGGGCTGGGAGCGTGCGAATGGGACGGGGATTGCACAATTCCCCCAGCTGCGAGGGATGCGGGGTGGGGGGCAGCCCTGAACCCCACGGGGCAGGATGGCTGTGCAGGGAGGAGGAAGAGGAGGAGACGGGCGTCATGCCAGGACCCGCTGTGTTTTCCAGCCAGGAAAACAGCCGCCTTGACTCAGCCCATTGGGAACGAGCCAGATTTCAAATGTCGCGGGGTGGCCGTGGAGCGGGTGTTTTGCAAGCTTTGGCGGGATGCCCCTGGGATCCTGCCCGCAGCGCTGGGACAGGCAGGGACTTGACGGTGCAGCAGCAGAAAGGCAGAAAAACAAGGGGGAGGATTCACCAGCGAGCAAAACTCTGCAGCTTGGGTGCTGTGGGGTGGCGTGTTTGCACAGCCCTGCACGGAGCTGAGCCCGGAGCTTGGCTGCAGGAGGGAAAGGGCCGCTTGAGTGCGAGTCCTGCTTAACCTCCTCCCTCCTGGGTTTGGGGTCTTGTTTTTCCGCATTGCAAACTTTGGGTGTAGGCTTACGAGGGTCCTGAAGGCATGTCCCCCCCGCAGGCCAAGCTGAAGAACATGGAGACCTCCCTGCAGGAGAAGGTAAAGGATTTCGGGGCTGTGCACGCCTCCTACGAGTCCATCTCCAAACACAACAAGGTGCGTGGGCCCTCCTGGGGCGGAGGTGGTGGGGCTGGTCCTGGCACATGTGTGCACGTGCATGCACATGCGTGCAAACATGTGCACGTGCATGCAAATACATGCACATTGCATGTACGTGCAAATATGTGCACATGTGTGCACACGTGTGCAAATATGTGCGTGCACATGCATACACAGTGCCTGCTCACACATGTGCGTGCATGCAAATATGTGCGCATGCATGCATACATGTGCAACTATATGCGCATGCATGCAAATGCATGCACATTGCTTGCACACACGCGCATGTACATGCAAATATGTGCATCTGCATGCATGTGTGTGCAAATATCTGCACATGCGTGCACACACATGCATGTGTGCAAATATGTGTGCATGCATGCACACGTGCCAATATATGCATGTGCATTCAAATGCATGCACATTGCACACATGCAAGTGCATGCAAATATGTGCGCATGCACACAAGTGCATGCAGATGTGTGCAAATATGTGCACGGGCATGTGTGCAAGTATGTGCGCTTGCATGCACACGTGCAAATATGTGCACATGCATGCAAATACATGCACATGTGTGCAAATATGTGCACATGGATGTGTGCACACACATGCAAATATGTGCAAAATGCATGCACATTGCATGCACACACATGCACATGTGTGCAAATGCAAGCACGTGCATGCACAAGCCCAAAAAAAGGCAGGTGGGGGTGGGGTGCAGCGCTGCACCCACCCTGGGTTGCTCCATCCTTGAGCAAGGAGAGCAACGCTGGGAGGGGAGGAAGGCCTCGGATAGTGACTTGGGGACCAGGGTTGTGGGGCAGTGCCTGCTGTGGCAGCAGGGACATTGATTTTGGGAGGGCAGCGTGGTCCCTGAGCTGGTTGGGGGACTCAGAGGAGCATTTAGGGGTGTTGGGGGCTCCGAAGGGACACGGTGCCATCCCCACCCGGGACAGGCACATGGTGCCATCCCCACCCGGGACAGGCGGAAGCAGCGCGGCTGGAGGAGCAGATCCATCGGGAATTTGAGAAGCTGCACGAGTTCCTGCGGGATGAGGAGCAGGAGCTGCTGGCGCGGCTGCAGGAGGAGATGCGGCGCAAGCACGGCCTCATTGAGGCCAAGATGAAGCAGCTGGCGGAGGAGAGCCGAGCCCTGCTCGCAGAAGCCCGCCAGCTCCAGGCTGACCTCAAGGAGGATGACTACACCTTCCTCATGGTAAAGCCCTGCCGGGGCTGTCACCCTCGCCGTGTCACCCCCCTGCCTCCGCCGGGGCGCGGGGCGATGCTTCGGGTGTGTGCAGACCCCCGTGACCCTCCCCTTATGAGCTGAGGTTTGATGCTCGGTGTCTCTTTCTCTTTCAGACCCACAAGAACCGCAAGCGCAGGTAAGTCCTGGTCCCTGCCATGTCCCCTGCCCGGTGACATGGGGTGGCTGGGCTCCCCCCCCGGCGCCCCCCACG